TAGGTTGGGCGCTTAGGCTCAATGCCAAATACACATTGTTATCCCAAACTAACTTAAACTTAGCACAAAACTTAAAACAATGCGCCGCAAACAAACTTGGCACATGGCTTATTTACTTTGCCTACAGTCTATGATAGCTTTCACTTGTCGCTCTTTTGTAATGAATTTAAAGTGCGCCGCATGTTCGTTTTGCAAGTTAAGTTTAAGTAACTCTCTTATAAATAAATTCAACTTTGCAAATTATGATATTGTGATATTCCATCTTAAGTCTAGGCAGATAAGTTCTTTGCTAAGTCTCAAAGCTTATAAGTACTTTAAGAGATTGAACACTTTAAAGCTGAAATCTGGGTATGTTTTGTTTGGGGCAGCCAAATAAGCAAATATTGCCTCTGACACAGAGTTGTTAGCACCTCTCACAATGTTGGCTTCGAAATCGTGAATTGTGAGGCAGCAGACGGCACGTTCGATACAAATAAATCAGAGGAAAAGCTTCTAAATTGTATTCCATTGTTGCGTACTTTAGACTCACCTTATGCTATGCTAGTTACCAATACCAAGATATATTCTTCATTTGTACTCAAATACTCTCGTTCTGTATCAAAATTCGGTGAGTGTGTCTGAGGTGGGACTAAAGGGTCGGTTCAATTGGCTGCCACGTTGATTTCGCATCGATTTTGACTTTCACTGTATTCTCTGCGTTTCTGTGCTTAAATCCCCTTGTCAGTAACATTCGTTTCTCTGCTTGTCGCGGAATACCCAAAAGGGTTGCGGTCCCTAGAAATGCGCTGACAGCGCATTTATTTCGTCAACATTTGGAATGAATGTGCTGTCATTGAAATGCACAATTTTCAATATGCGCGCCTGCAGCACACATGTGTTTATTTTTACGAGTAAAGCCCCGGCAAAGCGTCATAAACTGTCACATTTCCGAAACTTATTTTAGTTGAAACAATTTAAGCAATACACGCAAGCCAGTTGCAATAAATGTTTCCATTCGAGTCGTGTAAAGCTCGTCTTAGAGTTCTGTCACGTAAACTTCCACTTCTAGGCGAAGTTTTCAGCAAACACACATTTGAGAATTTAAAAAACTTTTGAAATACAGGAACAAGACTGCAAACCTTCTCTTTGTACAAAAAGAAGTTAATAAGCTTTGAGAATTTTAAGCACTCACTAGTTAATAACTTTTCTCTTTGTACTCTCTGTCTTTTTATCTACATATTATTTTTACGATGCCGCTGACTCGCTCTTATCTTTTTAAATATTTTCTTTCTCTCTATATCGCATCTCTTATTCGCGATCTTTTTTTGCTCCTTTCTCATTTGAAGCATCTCTCTACATCTTTGTCTTCCATTATGTCTCTGACTCAAACGATCCTCGTTCTCTCGCAGACACTTACTTCGATTCAGGAGCGCTTTTCCTTTCTCTTTCTCCCTCTCTCATCTCTGCCATTCAAGTCTAAGGCTCTCTATTACTTTGTTTTCTTATAGGAATTGATATCTATTTTAATCTTTTCGAAATATATCGATAATCTACAAGGAAAGTGAAAACGAAATAAAACGATTAATTGTGATAATTGGGAATACGTTAACGGTCGCTTTTCCAGTTTCTATCCTAGGGAGGTAAGTGCAATTTCTTCTTTCCACTTTTGTTTTGTTTTCTTCGAGGATAACCAATTGGATGTCTCTTTTTTTTTTAATTTCTTACAGGGGACAGGCTGTGCAGGATTTGGTAAAGTCGACGACCAACTTAACAAACTTGTGGGGCTGATCTATATGCACTTTATGTTCGGCATCCAAATACTCGACATGCAGTTTAGGAAAATATTTTCTCATAGTGTCAACATTTGCTGGCGTTACAAACGATTCATTTTTCGCAGCAATTAGCAGGGTCTCACCCTGATAGGGCTGCAGACCCTGCAGCGTCTGCTCATAGTTGACCATTGTTGCATCCCAGCCGTCTATGATCGCCTGGGCATTCACACTCCAGCCAAAGCTGCCATCGTCGAGCTTTCGCAGATTCTGAATGATCAGCAACAAATCGTGATCGCTTTTGACCAGCTTACTGAACTCGGGTATTATGTGCTTGCGACCCTTCGAGAGAGAAAAATCTTTGGGTATAGTCGACACCACGCTAACCATAACCTTAAACAACTCCAACGCTTTGACCACATCGTCAGGCAGCGGTCCCGGCGTTATGTCCACAATGATGGCACGCTCCACCAGCTTGGGTTTGGTCAGCGCCAGCGTCATCATTGCCCGTCCGCCCATGCTGTGACCCAAGGCAACAATCCGATTTAGCTTATGATCCGCCATGAAGGCCTCCACATCGGCAGCCATGTGGGCGGGCGTATGGCCCGCACTATGCGGACTCCGGCCGTGATTCCGGGCATCCACGGAGATCATCAAGCGTGAGCCCTGTTTAACCAAATGTCGCGCTGTGCGACGCCAACTGGAACGGGACAGATTTAAGCCATGCATAAGCAATATGGGCGGCGAATTCAGTTGACTATGCGGCATCTCGTACAGCGTATAATCCATCTTTACGCTGCCATAGCTGCGGTTCAAGTGTATCCTTGTGGAACATAGAGAGCGTCTCAGGTGTTTCTTGGAAACGGAAAATTTTGAATTTGACTTAACTGACGCAATAGAAAATGAGGTAATTGAACTGATCACTGATCCACTGAGTTTCCTCGTCAATAGGCATATTCCACAAACCATGACCGGGAAACCGTGGCTCCGTACCAAAAAACCATGAAAGATAAGTTCTGAGGCGCTAACTATAAATTTACATATTCAAACTGAAAAATGACTTGGAAGAGAGAAGACTTCTACTTCCATGTTAATTTATCTGTCAGTTTTGACATAAAAGACACAAAATGCTGCTAGGAATTGGAAATATTCAGCAATTAGAATTCCTTATTCTTATATACAATTTAATATGACATGATATCATTTCATACCAAATATTTCTGCTATTCTTTTATTAATATCCTTGCTTTTTAAACAATATCAATTTTCACAAAATATGAATAAGTAAGCCGTTAATCCCCTAAAGTAAGCACAAAGCTCAGCGTCTGGAAACTCTAGCATAAGGCAGACATAGTTCGTTTACTGCGGCTTTTACGCAAGCAAATCCCCAAATGACGTCATAAATAAAATGCATTTGCGTGGAAAATTAGGTAGCAGCAAATGACGCTGCAACAAGACGCACACAAGTACAGAAACTCTAGAGTATCGGAATACACATACATAGACAGAAGTATGAATATCTATGTATATATATATATATATATTCCTTATAAGAACATAAATCTTGCACAGTGCTCTGGCGCAGACACAAACAAATCGTCTTTGGAATTTCTTTTCTCTTTTTTCACTTTAAATTTCTTGAAAATATCTGAGGATTATTGAGAACTTTGCGTGCGTATCTTTAGAAAGGTGTCAAGTGCGTTTGAGATATAAAATATATACATAGATAAATTTATAAACCTATTCACAACAATCTCTGTGTGCTTTTTATAGAGCAACTGTTGGGAAAAGTTTGAAGTTGAGTTGCTTTAATACAAAGAGGTATATCAATGGTGTTAAATGTCAAAGAAAACTCGTGCCAGTCAGATGGAGACAGGTGGTTGTGATTTCAATAGAACGTATCCCAAACGCATGCTATCCAATTTCTATTTATTGACACAATTAAATGCCTTTGAGTTTTGCCCCCTTTGGCACAGCAAAACAAAGTGAGAGTTAATCAGCAACTGGAATTGACTAAAAAGGATAACCAATAAATAAATTTAAGGAAACCCAAAACCAAATATAAAATCGAAATAATACTAATGAGCATAATTTCATTGAGAGTTTAAAATACACTTTAGTATATCCAAGTTTTATTTGAATACTTTGTATATGCTGTATTCAAACTAGTCTCCTAAACAGTTACACTTATATTGTTATGCTATCTCTTATATTTATAAGAGCGTAAGTGCCGGTGGATTTATCCGCACTGGCGCTTTGGCTTTTCTGAGAGAGAGAGAGAGAGAGTGAGAGAGAGCGAAAGAGAGAGTGAAAGAGGGAGAAAGAGATTAAAACATAATTTGAAAAGCTGCTGAGCGTGATTCATGGCAGATTTTTATAAACACAAACAAGGCATGCAACAGTTAGATGACCAAAACATTAGGGGTATTCGTTTTATGCATTCATATATTTTTTTAATTAGATTAAATGCAAGTGCAAAAGCTTAACAGAACTTCAATTTGTTTAATGTTCTATACAGCATTTTAAACGAACTTTCATATTAGTTTATATATAAATATTTTTTCATTTCGTCCCTAAACATCCGCCTTGCTCTGTCTCAGTCTCTAAAAGTATGAAAAATATTTATCTAACTACATATTTATAAGAAATAAACGCTTACAGTTACAAGACAAGGAAGTGTAAAGTCCTTTTTAAGATTTTATTACTTTTACTTGTAACCATTTATTTCATAATGAAAAAAGGCAAAGGAAAAAAGCTTTTAACGTCCGATAAGGCGATTTAAAAAAAAAGCGAATTCTAAGAACATAATGGCGCCACCTATGTTTCATTTATGATTAAAGCGAACACACAAACCAATAAAGTTTGACAAATAGGCTATACTAATCTTAAAAGAACTAGGGCATGTTTGCTTCCCAAAAATTAACGATAATATTTGGTTAGATTAAATAAAGTAAATCTTATAATTCCCTCACTTTAATACATGATAAATAGCTGTTTAAAAATTTAAAATAGTGTTTAAGTACTCTTACATTGCACAATACTTTAGGTTTACATACTGAAAGGTTAAAACAATTTGTTTTCTTTTTTACGTTTATTATATTTGCGGAGTAGGTCTCCAATAAGAGGCCTTAAGTTTTTCAAACGCTTCAATCAATTGCATATTATAACACAACTTTCGCTTAACTCCCAACCCCCGTTGAGCGGCAGCCAATCAAAACGGCGCAAACTGTTGCCAATCCAAAATGGCCGCCTTGACTGCCCTTCGCAGATGCTGCACGCCGTAAGGGTGGGCAGAAATCCAATAAGCCACACCGAGAAGAGCTCATTTCAAAGCAGTCAGCACAATCAGAATTTATTCCAATTCGGGCTTCCAAGCAGAACAGTAGAGACCCAAGGTCATCAGTCGTATCAGAATAGGACAATATACACCATATACACCAGCAGCAGCCATGCAGCATCCGAGCGAGCAGCCTACCTACATGCCCGAGGTACCCTTTCAGCCACTGTGGGGCCAGGAGGCACCGCCGCCGCCGCCCATAGTGCCCTATCAGGAGCTCATGGCGGGTTTTCCCTGCTCCGATTTGTGTAAGTACTTGTGTTCTCCTCCATGCTCTACATTTTCGGCTCACAGTTTTGTCAATTTGCAGCACTCTGGCAAAGATCTCAAGTGGCGCCGCTAGTTAACCAACGTCCAAGCACGAATGGGCGCTCCCATGGATCCTCCTCCGCCAGTTCGAAGAAAACGCGTCGTCGTGTTGCCTCCATGGCGCAGAGGCGCGCGGCAAACATACGCGAACGCCGTCGCATGTTCAATTTGAACGAGGCCTTTGACAAGCTGCGCCGCAAGGTGCCAACATTCGCCTATGAGAAGCGGCTATCACGTATTGAGACCCTGCGCCTGGCCATTACCTACATTGGCTTCATGGCGGAGCTGTTGAGCGGCACGCCCTCTAACACCCACAAGTCCCGCTCGGACATGTACGGCGGCATGAATGGACACCATCATTCAACGGCTGTGGCCCCAGGTCCGCCAATGCATCCACATCATCTGCATCCGGCGGCCTATCAACGCGACTTTGCCTCGCCCTACAATCACAGTTTGACATAGATCTCGTCGAGCTTTTCGGGATTATTACAATATTGTACCGTGTTTTTTGTTGCCATATCATGTGTTTAGACTTAAGATTAACCCATATAAATGTGATAGATGTGCAAATTATGAAGTGAGTGGAGTTTGAATATGATATTAATAGATTTGGGAAGCTAAAGCTTCTTATTAGGGAGCCGTACTTCGCATATTAAAGAGAAAGAAACAAACAACTTAACTCATGATCTTTAGTGCTAATACAATTTTGAGAGAAGCTTCAATTATGTTATATGAAAACATATGCAAGATAAAAATATCTATTCTTAGAAAATGAACTAGACCCAAACAGTTTTACATAACATTCATTAAAATTAGTAGAAGGAATTGATTGCTTTCAATCAGTGAAATAAAAGTTGGCTTTATCGATATACTTACCCCTGGAAACTAAAACGAATAAATTTAAATTTAAAAATTTAATTTGAAAATAGACGACCTAAGATCTTCAAAGTTATATACAATAATAAATTACATGAAATGGTAAATTCAACTGTAAACTGATCAAGGAATCTGTAGAACTTATGAAAATAGGACTCGAATGACTGGCTAGTTTATGAATATAGTGATGTTTTAAAGAGGAGTAAAGGTTAATAATGCATTATATGTTCGTATTAATAACAGTTATAATTATAGAGTTATACTAGTTAGCAAATCAAAACCTATTACACAGCAGTATTTGCCTTCCATTAAATTCTCCGCCCTTATCAATTCTTTCCCTTCTTGATTTCATATTCTGATAAGCACATAAGAACTATCAAAATTTTCACAATACTATTGGCAATATCTCTGTACGCCAACAACTGATAAATATTATATATATCATAATTTCTGCGTTCAATAGATTAGGTGATACGACGTTCAAGCACAAACGCTACTAGGCACATATTTCCTACAACGTTATCAAAGATCTCATTAAATTCCATAGACGATTGTTAAATTTTCTGGTTTTGACAAATCGCCAGTATTCGATTGAAAGCCAAACTAGAATGTTGAAGAGCGCATTTGTAACCCAAATTTCCACGGTTTCCAGCGATCCGCCGGCCTGGCTAGATCAGAAGGAACTGCAGCAACTAATTAAAGAGGAATTTCCTACATTTCAAAATATAGAAAGCTTTCGCTGCAGATCCGAGCAAAATGGGCAGCGTCTTCAGATCCAAATAAAGTTGGCGGGTGAGCATTTGCAGAGCTACCTTCTCGATAGGCGATAACGATAACGATTGCACAATCGAACAGGCAACTCTGCTCGCACTGTCAACTACCTCGTGAAATCGAAGGATCTACCCAACCAGGACACTTTCAAGTTTCCCCAAGACAAAAACTTTCAACGTGAGCTGCACATGTACGAGGTGATCCTGCCTGCCCTCGAGGAGCTCTATAAGGATGTTAATAAGAACATAGCATTCACACCCAGCTGCTATAAAAAGGCTCCAACTGCAAAGCACCATTTGTCCAACTGTCTTTTTCTAGAGGATCTTCAAGCCAAGGGCTTTCGGTCAGCCAACCAGCCGAAGGGTCTAGACCAATCAGCTATGGAGGTGGCGCTATCAAAACTGGCCGCTTATCATGCGGCTACAGCGCGATACATGCAACTGAATCAAGCGCAGTTAAATGAGCTGGTTTCAAAAAGAGAATCAACCCAAGAGCTACAAGATCTTAAGAGCTGGCTACAACGCAAATTTCATGAGAGTTTGCGGTCAAACGATTTGAAGCATTATGAGGATAAGGTGGTAGGTGAAAATAATATCTACGGAGTATATCAGATATTTGCAGCTAGTTTCCTTCACTCAGAAATCATATCAGAAATATATAGCTGGCAATATGGAGACACCGGATCTGAAGAAATCTTTCAATGTCATCCTGAACGGCGCCTGTTGGCCAAGCAATTTACTGGGCCAATTCGATGCGTTTGGCCAGCTTAAAGATGTGATTTTCCACGATTTCGGTGGTGCAGCCTATGGACCTGCTATACGTGATCTGCTGCAACTAATCTTAACTGCAGCTGCGGCAAAAACTGAACAATTTGACGTCTGTTTGCGATACTATACGGATGAGCTGAACGAAAATCTAAAATTGTTAAAGTTCAAGGGAAAGTTGCCCACCTTAACGGACTTTCAGTTGGATGTACTCAACTATGGACACTGGGGTAAGCTATGGAAATAGCTGACATTATAAATTCCATATAATAATATTCTTAACTATATAGCCTTTGAGACTGTAACGGAAATTCTGCCCATTGTACTGGCCGATTTCGAATGTGAGGATACGGATGAATTGTTTAAGTATACAAAATACTCTGCGGAAATTAAAAAGCTGCTGCCCTGGCTGGAGAATCGTGGTTACTTTGAGGTAGAATAGCAAACGAAATCACTTTACCTAGCGTTTAAAGTCAACTTGTACAAATTACATTGAACAAAAAAATGTATACCAACAACCACCTGATAATCCCCTAAGAACCGCACTTGTAACTGCAACCTACAACATTATTAAAGCTTGATTTGCGTGCGAACTAGTGCAGCTGCTGCGGCACATGTTGATGCCACACAATGAAGTCACATTAGGTAGAACACCGAGCCAGCCAAAACACAAGACAACCCAACAACAATTTGACAACGTAAACAAAGCGTAAAATTATTATTAATAAATTAATGTGATAGGGCTGCAATACAATGACAATTTTTGTAACAACCCTCGTTAGGCGCAAGCAAGTGCAACAATTATGAGGGGCGCGTTAGCGCAGAATTTGAATACCCTGTAAATTTACTTGAATGCGATTTGATTTTGGGATTTTGTGCCTTACCCGTAATAGATTGAGATACACAATTCTCATTTAAATGAGTGAAATTTTACACATCTCACTTGAACATATTTTATTTAAGATCTAAGATCTACTGAATTCGACACACGAGGCAAACCACAAATACTACAGCGAAAAAATAATTAGATAATATTTTTTGGGAAGATCACATTGGTCTGCCTAATACTGTTGTCTGCAAGTACAGGGTATCTGTTAGCCTATTTAGCTATTTTTCCGCCCCGCCTAAATACCGAGGAATTTTTGCGTTCAACGCCCATTTTCAACAGATTAGCGGGCCCTTTCTATTGTTGTTGCCACAGAGCGCAACATTGGGCAAATTAGTTTTGAGGGAAGCACAAAAAATCTGTTAGACCTAACTAGACCCACCTGAGGGTTGCTCGGCAGGATCTGTAACACACAGCGACCCTTTTTGCTCCTGTTTTGGTTGTGCGGTAGCTGGCAATATGTTTTGATGAATTCGTGACACTTCATGCCGCATTAGGTTGAGCAATTGCTACCCCTGCTATAGGGGTTGACGCTTGACTTTGGCTTTGGCTTTATGAAGTGCGCTCACGTGTCTGTGATTAGCGTCTTATGTCAGAATCGTATCTATCTGTAGTGTTTACAGTAACTGACTCAAATGCCTAAAACTAGACCACCTGCTGTGTGGGAAACTTCAGCCAAAAGAAGTGAGCTTAAAATTTCAAGATCACATAGCATGTTTCTTATGAGTTTGACAGTTTGTCCTTGCCACGTGTCGCTAATTAAATGTTACCCATAGTAAATCAGCGTAGGAAATTAACAAGTCTATGAACAATTTCTGGCTGAGATTTGCGTAATCCTCACCCTCTCCCCCTTTGGGTCTATTGTGCGCATGTCAAATCGCTGTGACAAATTAATTGAATTTTGTTACAATTTTTGGCAAATTTTGCGCAAAAATATCGACACTTTCTGAAGCTATTAGAACAAAATCCAATATATATTTGACGGCATGATAGATGAGCCAAACAGATGGTCAGAAATTATACGATAAAGATTAATATGTTATATTATACGATATCATATGATATATAATCAAACGAGAATTATTTTAATAATCAAAAACAGCTTAAATAAGTTGATATTATTTGAATATATAAAGAAATTTGCGCCAAATTCAGATCTAACAAGTAAGAGGTTTGAGTCGGGAGCTCCCGACTAGGGAATACCCTGAACACTCTATTCCAACATAAAATGCATACATATATACTATTTTAGAATATATATATTCTATTTTAGAAGTCACGTTTGCTGACTCTTTCAATTCTCTAGCTCTTATAGGCTATGAGATCCTTCTGTTCATACATACGGACAGACAGACAAACGGAGATGCTTCCTTCCCCCTGTTACATACATTTGGATTTTGCACAAATACAATATACCCTTATACCCATTTTTAACGGGTTCAGGGTATTAAAATGTATGTCTCTTAATAATGAGAAGATTCGCTTACAAAGCTTTGATCATCATAAAAGCTGCAAAAGCTTTGAATGAAATTTAAGTATCACTTGGTAAACAAGCTCATTTTACGCATTTAATGAGCGAGTTCCCAATACCCTGTGTTTAAGAATTTAAGATATTCAAATATACTGTTTTATGCCAAATAAAATATATGTTATATATTAAAATGAACTTGTTTATACACTGTAGGTATAGGAACCTAATAGGTAGAGCTACCTATATACTAATCGAATTTATCTTATAAAGTCTGAAAAAAATATTTCAAATATAAACATTATAATTTTATAAAGATTGTTAAACAAACAAAAACTATTTGATGACAGTTCTTCACATAAAACTATATACAGGGCATCACAAATTCGTACACGCTCAAGAGCTTTACTCATTTGACAAAGTGGTGTAATTTAAAAAAGCTTTAAGCTTTAAGCACGAAAGCTCTGTTTTGTTTATAAACATACCATTCGGCAAGTAAGAAACTTATAGTATAAATTTAGAGAGCTGACAGTAAAAACGTAATTCGACGTGAAAAAAACATGGAAAAGACGGGTGAAAAAGAGGTGCCAGAGTTGCCAGAGTTGCCGAACTGGTTGGATGAGCATATGTTTGTGGAGTTCTTGCAACGGGACTTTAAAGAGTTCAAGGCCATCAAAAACTTTAAGATAGAACCCACAGGCGGCAAAGGCGAAAACTTTACGACTTTGGTGGTGCGCGTTAAGATAAACGTTGAGCTAAATGGTAAATGATTAAACTTAATTTGAGGTCAAGAAATCGAAAATTCTAATAAATTCAATACAAACCTCTGCAGACGGCAGCGAAGCAGCTACCTCGTATATAGTCAAATTGTTGCCCACAACCTTGAGCACACGTGATATGATTGCCAGCTGGAAGATCTTCGATAAGGAAAAGCTAACCTACAGCAGCTATGTGCCCGAATTCGAGCAAATGTTCAGGAACAACAAAAAGGAAATAACATTTGGAGCCAAATACTATGCGCCAACAACTGCAGCGAGTCAGGAGCTGATCATACTGGAAGATCTGGGCAATCGCGGCTTCAAGAACGTAAATCGTCAGGAGGGTTTGAACATGGCGCATACCAAAGCTGTGCTAGATAAGTTGGCCCAATTTCATGCCGCCTCAGCTGTGCGCTATGAACACAAGGGTGCCTATCCAAAACTCTATGATCGGAATCTGTGCAGTGAGGAGGATAAATTTCAAGAGTTTCGAGACACGCAAGCCAAGTCGCTTATCAAGGCGCTGCCGCTCTATGAGGCTGCCTATATGGAGAGCGAACTGGTAAGTAAGCGATATATATATATACCCTGTAATTATGGCAGATTATTTGAAGAGTCCAATTTATCTATTTGAACTCTTTGGCTATTAAGCTGTGGGGTAAATAATCGGAGTTCGCTGGGAGAAGAAAACTTCTCATGTTAATTAGAATAGCTTAATAATTGAAGAATATTAATAGGAAAATATTTAAGTGTCTTTCTACATCTTCAATATATAGAATTTATTCTGTAATTTCTGAATCAATTCCAGAAATCCTACACCTCAATCGCACCGGATATGTTTCAGGCCCATGCACCCAAGTTTGAGGGCGAATTCCGTTGTCTTAATCATGGCGATTTTTATTGCAATAATATCATGTTTCAATATGATGAACAAGGCGAAATTAGCGAAACCTACTTTCTTGATCTGCAGATGAGTCGCTATTGCTCGCCCGCACAGGATTTAATCTATATACTGCTCTCCTCGGTTGCTTTCGAGCTTAAGTTTTCCAAATTCGACTACTTTGTACACTACTATCACAGCAGGCTGGTTGAGTATCTAAGTCTTTTGGATTATCCACAGCCTCTGCCTACATTGAGGGGACTCCACGTTGCGATTCTCAACCACGGCGATTGGGGTTGGTTTCAACATTTATTACACACAACTTATTGTTAAATTTATTATCTAATTTTATTATTTAAGTTTACCCCGTAATATCACTGCTACTGCCACTTGTGCTGATAGATCCCAGCGAAAAGACCAATATGGACACCATGATGGACCAGGAGAGTGAAGGTGACCAACTGCGAAACACCATGTTTGGACATCAACGTGTTGTACAGCAATACAAGCAGCTGCTGCCCTGGGCTTACAATCGTGGCTTGTTTGTGTATGGACCAAACAAATGACTGAAAAGCAACTGTGATATCGATTTCTTATTTCATACAAAAGAGTACAAATAAATAAATGATTGTTTTATAAAAAAAAAACATACTTTTTACTGTATTAAAAGATAGTGGAACTCGAAAGAGATAAAAGGTTACTAGAAAGACCTATATAAATCTTAACCTCGATTTTGTACAAAAGCGAATTGATTTCTGATATTTTCAAAATTTTAGATAATCTCCTCATATGCCACTAATATAAGACATCGTGTTGAAAACAAAAGAGATTTATAAAAGAAAGAAGCTATCTACAAATTTCTTACACTCGCAGAACAAACTAGATTAGGAGCTACCCTAGGGGGTAACAGGCCTTCAAATCTAACGACGTCACACTCCAAAAGTTAGTAAAATTTTTAACAGGCGTTGAAAACTATATGTCTGGCAGTATCTCAATGGAACAAAAAAGAAGACGCAGTCATTGTGATTCTACAAAGCTGAACCCAATTTTAATTCTGGTTCTATCAAATGCTGCTGCCAACTGCCAGTTCTTAAATATCGCTTTGTTACGATCGAAATGGCCATTTTAGGAATTGTACATTTATTTGGGAGCTTTATAAGCATTGCTAAATCATATTATGACCTGATAAGGTGGCACATGAGCTGGCGATAAATAATTGCGTATTATTTTAGTGATAACTTTTGGCGCATGCCAAATAAATGTTTGCACTCAACTGTTTTACTACAACTGCAATCGATTGGCTAATATTGAATTGTAAACATTGTGTAGCCTTTAAAACGAGATTAAATGAATCAATTTTGTTTGTAACTAAGAGCTCCAAGAGCTTCCCGGTTTCTGATTTGCCAGTCCTATTTGTCAGTCCACAGCAACAACCACTTGAGAATTGTAAGCAAGAACATAATGTTTAGGGTTGCAACCTACCCTTACATGCTTACCCCAGGGAAATATACTGTTCAAGTGGATCGCCCGATTAGATATTAGACCATTTTGGGAACATTTCGCTATTGACAACTTATTACTTATTACCCCAATCTTACAATTAAATGTGTATAAAACGAAATTATTTTAAGTAACCAATGTTAGGTGACAAAAAATTAATAAATAAATATAAATACAAACTCAGAACTATTTACATATGTATATAACATATTTGAGAGGATACAGTCTCTAACATATTGAATATTAGATTCTATCTGATATTTTTGTATTGATAAAATGTGTCGGCTATTTTTGTCTTTGATTAGGCTTGAATATATCAAACTTCGGGAAAATTAGCAAATTAGCAGAATAAATCCCAAAGTACCCAAAGTTAATAAACATGACCTCAACTAATTTGGCATTCAAAATGAACATTTTTCTTCAGTTTTGATGGTTTATAATTTGAAGTGGTATTTGCTCATATTTTTATTGAGAAGCTTTCCGATAAGGCTAGCCGTAACATGTATGATTCTTTTTATCAACTATTTCATCACGCTTGCAATAATATTGTTAAGCAAATCAATTTAAAATTTCGTACAATTGACAAACTTTATAAGAATACGTAGATAAGATAGATCGAATTGACTATATGTTTGTGTATGGAGTTAAATTCTATTTACGAACAGTATATAAGCTAGGCTCCACTCTGATTATATGAAAAGCTTTTGCAGTCTAATTTTAGACAGACCTATGCCAATAGTTCTGGTATAAATAAGAAAGTTAATTACCAACAGTTCACACAGTTTTATTCCAATTGCATTGTCATGAGCCTGTTAAAAGCGCTCTTTGCATCCAATTCAAGATCTGCGCTGGATCTGAAGACTTGCACCTTAAACTATAAGAGACTACCCGAAGAAGCTAGGGATAAAGCCTGTTTGGTAAACATTGAAAATAACAGTTACTTCATCTACGCTGAGCCAAGTAGCTACAATGAACTGGGAACAAGAAGGATTCCGGTGTCCGAAACTGCAGAGATGCTCATTGTTTATAAATAGGCTTGAAAATGAAATTGAAATAAACCTAGAAATTGCCTGTCATTAATATATGTAAGAAAAATCAGTAGGCTACACCATGATAAAATTATATAAATATTTATATATGAACAAAAAAAGCAATTTAAATTTTAGTATTAAAATGATAGATTAAGCCAGACAACAAGCGTGGCAAATGTGCTAGTGTAAACATTAACTAAAGTCATGTAAATCGAATTAATATGACTGCAACTTTGGAAAGCAAAGCGCACACATCGATGGCGCAGCGTGATCGCTCTTATCCTTGAAAATAATATGTATGTAAGTATAAAGATAGGCAAGGAGCAAAGACAGATATTCCGAGTACTACACATTTTCAAATATTGTGTATCGTGCTCTATTCCGGCTGAAACGGAATCGTTTTCATCGTTTTGAAACCGATTGTAAATCCGTTTTCGATTTATTGGTATCGATAATGATTATGTGGACTATCCACTTCATTCATATTATAAGCTTTTGTTACTATTTGGCATATTAATTTATTTCCGCTGAATTCAAACAAAATGGGAATTCAGAAAGGATCTATTTGATTGAATAAGGAATAAATGGATTAAAAAATAAAATAAGTAAATATTTACCATAATTTAAATAAGTCGCTCAAATTATTCAGATATTAATAACCTCTCATTCTACCTCTCTACTTTCTCAATCTATCTATCACTCTGCCTCTGCATTCCTCTGCTTGTGCCTTCCTCATCAAGTCTTGAAAATTTGTGTACTTAGTTCAGTGTTCAACATGGGTCAGAGCAGCTCCAAGCGTAAGCATAAATGTAAAATGAAATCGAGAGGAGTTCAAATGCACAGCTCTTTAGAGACTATTAGAAATGAGAACGAAGACCATTTGACCCATTTAACGTATCCAATACATGTTGATAATAATTTGGTGCCAGGCTGGATAAACAAGTCGCAATTTTTAGAAATACTTAGTGCCAATGTGCCAGAGTTCTCGAAGATCGAAAACTTTTGCATCAAACCAGCCACAACGGCTGGCGAAAACTATTCCTCGTTGATATTGCGCATAAGCATTGATGTTAAGCTGACAGGTGAGTTGAGGCTGCCTGGCGGTAGCTCCATTGAAATTTTCCTTTTTTTTTGTGTAACACATTTCCCATATAGACAAAAGCGTCAAGTCCATGTCATTCATGATGAAAGTACCACATGAATCAGCCAAAATGCAGCAGATGCTAAAGACTGTAAATTTCTTTACTGTCGAGAACGCAACCTACACAGAGCTCATATCCAGGTTCGAGGATCTCTATAAATCGATAGGTATGAACATCAAATTTGCACCACGTGCCTACAAGTTCACGGAGAGCCTGAAAAAGGAACCCAAACTGGCCAATACGGTGCTGATGCACGATTTGAGCCAGGATGGTTATAGAAATGTGAATCGCCTAGAATGTCTCGATGTGGAACAGTCCAAAATGGTGCTGCGCAAACTGGCACAATATCATGCAGCGGGTGCACACTGTCGGGTCATCAATGGACCCTACCCGGAACTGTTTACGCAGCCCATGTTTGGCTCGAACAAGGAGAGAGCCATTTCCATACTGGAGGGCATAATGGGGCCATTCAAGAAAATGTTTTTGGAACATCTTAACTTCTATAAGGATGGAGAGAAGTACAGCGAAAAGTTTGTAAGTTTGATAATGAACTTGGACTAAATATTTGATTACAATGTATTTGATCTTAATTTAGGCATTACTCTTCTCCAAAATGAGCAGAAAGTTTTTGAGACTCAGCACATTCGATCCAACCGAATTCAATGTGATCAATCATGGCGATTGTTGGATTAACAATCTACTCTTTAAATTCGGTTCCAAAGGCGAGCTGATCGATATGATTTTCGTGGACTTTCAGTTGCCAAAATATGGTCACCCATCGGCTGATTTACTAAACTTTATCATGACCTCGGTTCACATAGATTACAAGCTAAAATATTTTGACTATTTTATAAAGTATTATCACGATCAACTGATTGAACATCTGAAACTACTGGAATATGAAGATCGTCTGCCCACGCTGGCGGAGCTGCACATGCAAATCTATAAATATGGTATATGGGCGATAACAGCCTCTGTCATGGTCCTACCCATTGTCCTATTGGATCAGAATGAGGAAACGAGAGAGTACAAGAGTCAACTGTACACGAATGAGCGCTACAAGGCTAATATAGAACAGATAATGCCCTGGCTGGACAATCGTGGCCTATTGGAAGTATAGCAGCAAAATAACATCCGATTCGATAAATAACAAAATAACAACACAGCAAGAACTTTAGTTTTGGGAGAAAGGCTGCAGGCGGCAAACAAACCCCGATTTGGCCGTTTCAGTCCGTTCCAACGATTTTAAACTGCATATTTATTTAGTCAATATATATATACTTATCATTTATGCTAAAATTATTTTGCTAATCTATGCTATTTGGGATTTGAAACGTAAAATTTTAAATTATGACAGCTTCTGGTAGAGATTGGCTGAAAGACCCAGCCTTTAGGAAAACAATAATGCAAATAATCATGCCTTAACCTAAGATTTATTAACTAGTACTATCCAATATTTATATTGATAGCACTTTCAAACTATATTATTTAGTAATAATGAAAAAATATAAATGTCAATTTTTAAAAATGCTCTCGTTTATATTTTTCGATTCGACCGCCTCAGCTGAACATAGTCGAAACAAATGATTAAACATGGGACTCGAGGAATAATATAATAATAGATAAACACTAAAGTGTAAATGCCTTTTGCACAAAACTCAAAAATTCGAAATGGATTGCTATTGAAATTAAATGCAATTATTTAACAAGAACATATTCATATGTTTCAAATATTCGGTCATAGACCTTTAACATGCTCATAACAGAGCGAGTTTTTTTCTAATCTATAAATTGACCGTGTACACACATGCACACATATATATATATATATACACTAATGAGAACCGTATACAATCAGGAATGCAACTAATTGTATTCAGATTAGATAAGCAAACAGGTTATGAAAGAAATATAAGTATTATATGTATTTGACATAGTCATTGTGATTATACTAACAGCAGATCTGGTAGTAATGAGAGGAGAGATTTTTAAATTTTAAATTCTACAAACGATCATTCAAACCCAATTCAGAAAAAAATATACAGTAATAGAGTTGAGCTTATGTGTATATATAGCCTATGTCGTATATAGACTTGATCAGAGTAAATCCAAGGCATTTCGTTAGCTCTCACTCCCCAATGCGAAGCAGATGTTGAAGCAAAAGACTAGCTTTAAATCTAACAGATAACAGTCTAGCTAGTAAGAAGAACTCGATCTCCCGAATAGATAAATTAAATAAGTACAACTTCAAGCTAACATACAAAATAAGTTAAATATAATTAAACTAGGTTTCACTGAAAACTTTCTATTCCTGTTAATTTGAATAATAGCGAACTAAATTTACTTATTGTCTTAAGACGAATTTAATTTACAAGTACAGTGGTCGCTACCTAAGTTGAATTTATATATACATATATAGATTAGACTTTATATGAGTTATATACATCAATCTTTTTTTTTTTGAGTAAAATTATATATAAATTAGATACAGCGTACAATGCGCTCTATTAAAAGTTAAGCATGCATTCGACTATCAAAAAGGAATACCAAGATGGGAATAAGCTCCAAACTCGAAGCGTTCCAAAGATTCAATTTGCATTGCTCTGAGTAACTGGTTCACTTTTGGTACACGAATAATTCGATCGTTGAATTATTATAGAACTTACGTTTATGTTAGTATCCGAGTGTAGGGCATCTTTCAGTCCCCACTCACTAAAGCGCTCTAGTTTATTTCAACATTTGAGCATTGAATTGAATAATTGCCTGCACATCTGCAAATCTATCCATATTTGGCGTATCAGAGAGCTTTTGCCCTCGGCAGGTATTGTAAAGTTTCGAGTAATCAACCAGTTTAAGTAGAGTGAAATATTCGTACGATAATGCTGTTGTTTTTTTTTTTTTTTATGTTTATTTATATTTTTTCTTGTATATACTCAAATACAAAACAAATGCTGATAAAATAGTTCGACTATCAGCGGCTATCGGTAAAAGTTGGGTATAAATATCAACGTAAATTTTAAGGCAAATGCTCAGTTGAAAATTGTTTGTCAAGTCGTACAGACGTTTAGAAATCGCGCAGTTTTTTTGCTTTTAATTCAACATCTGTTATGGGTCATAATAACAGCAAGTCAAAGCATAGCTATAATGTGGAACCTGCCACGCAGAAGCCACAGGCACAGCCCCAGTCCCAGCCGCAGCCCAGCACCGAGCCAGTGGACGACGCCAAATCAAAGATCAAGTTATCCCCCGCACCGGCCGCGGCCACCCCACCAGTCGTTATCAATTCCACGCCAGCGCCCGAATGGATTAATGAAGCGCAATTTGTGGAAATACTCAAACAAACTGTGCCGCAGTTCTCAAAAATTCAAAGCTTCAGCGTAAAGCCCGCCATGGGCGCTGGCGAGAACTATGCGACGCTCATGCTGAGAGTGAGCATTGAGGCAGAGCTGACAGGTGAGTAAAACAGCTGCCGATGACGTCACAAATTTTGGATTAGCTATGCAGACTGAGGAAATACCTTTAAATAAAATACACACTTTGGAAATAGCTCAAAATTCAATTAAGATTATGATATGTGGAATACCCAATTCTCTTATCAACACATCACAATTTTCTGTTAATCGCGTCTGCTCAGCGGGGGGTTTGGGAGGTGTTTCTACATGCATTTTTTTTACTGAGATAACAGAACTAATACCATATACTTAACTATATATGGAGCATTTGTAGATTGCTCAGTTGAAAATTATAAAATGTATGAGCTAAAAAAATTGTAAAATAGAATTCTGAGAATGAAAGAAAGTACTTATAGCTAGAGCTTATAAATAGAAATTCGTAAAAATAAAATTAAATAAACATATGTGTGGTTAAATTCAAGGCCAAGCACTTTATTAATATTAAAAAGAAAAAAGAAATAAATAAATTTATTTTTGGGCTTTTATGTTTAGGTATATATTACTTTTTAAAACTTTGTTCGTGCTAGTCGAAAGTAGATTATAGGAATTAAAAAATTAGTGAATGGAAATGGATATTAACATTAATTTCTCTTTAATCTTTCGACTAGACAAAACCGTCAAGCCCATTTCTTATATGATGAAAGTGCCCCACGACTCGTCTCAAATGCAAGAAATGTTGCAAATGGCAAACTTCTTCGATATTGAAAACGAGTGTTACATTGATCTGATACCCAAATTTGAGCAGTTGTACAAGTCCAAAGGCTTGGACATAACCTTTGGGCCGCGCGCCTATAGATTCGAAGAGAGCCAGAAAACGGAGCCCAAACTGAAGAGTACGGTGCTTATGTACGATTTGGGTCAGGATGGTTATAGAAATGTGAATCGCCTGGAATGCCTCGATTTTGAACAGGCCAAGGTGGTGCTCTGCAAGCTGGCGCAATATCATGCCGCAAGTGCCGCTTACAAGAGCTTGCATGGACCCTACTCAGATACCATAATGTATGGCATGTTTGGCTCGAATCCAGAAAAGGCTATGGCTGTGATGGACGCTATGATGATACCCACACAGAAAATGTTCGTGGAGAATCTAAAGAACTATGACAACTGCGAGCAATATCGCGACAAGCTGGTAAGCAGCTGTATAATATATATGAATTTTCTATCTTATTAACCTAAGCATATTGCCAATTGATTTTTGTAGGAAAAATATTTCTCTAAAATGCACGACATGTTCATAGCTCTGGGCCAGGCCAATCCTAACGAATTCAATGTCATCAATCATGGTGATTGTTGGGTCAACAATTTCCTCTTTAAATTCGATCCAAGTGGGCAGCTGCTCGATATGCTTTTTGTGGATTTCCAGAATCCCAGATACGGTCATCCTTCCGCAGATGTGCTCTACTTTATTATGACATCTGTGCACATAGATTACAAACTGAAGGATTTCGACTATTTTATCAAATACTATCACGATCAGTTGATCAAACACCTTCAGCTGCTGGAGTACAAGGAACGTTTGCCCAAATTGGTGGAGCTGCAAATGGAGATGTACAAATACGGCAGCTGGGCACTAATGGCCAGCTATCTGGTGCTGCCCGTGGTGCTGCTGGATCCCACGGAAACGGCCACGTTTGAGAACTTCTTGGGCACCGGCGAATCGGCGGCCGACTTCAAGAAGCAAATGTACACGAATAAACGCTTCAAGCACTACATCGAACAGATGCTGCCCTGGCTGGATAACCGTGGCCTATTGGAGGTTTAGTAAGTGCCGCTCTATAATCATAGTTAGTTGCTAACATTAATTTATTTACTTGTTCAGTGAACCACCGCAAGCTGTGCAGGCCCCAGCTGTGCCCTTAACAATTGCAACGCCTGCGAAAGCCGAGCTCGACTCTAATGTGCCCGCCTGGGTAAACAGCGACCAATTCAAGCAACTGCTCAAGCGCAATCATTCCGATTTCAAGGAAATTCTTGATTTTCGTGTCAAAAAGGCCACCGAAGCCGGTGACAATTATTCCTCAATTATGCTCTCCGTGGATATTGAATACCAAGCCGTAAATGGTCAAAGTTCTAGTGCGTCCTTTATGCTTAAAGTGCCGCCAGCCAGTAGTGCATCAGCCGTAATGCTTGATTTTATGCTCACCTTCAAGAAGGAGATGACCATGTATAATGATGTCATACCACAGCTGGAGCAGCTTTACCAGCAGGCTGGTCAGCCCGTTGTCTTTGCCCCCAAGAGCTACAAACTACAAAATGCACCCGAGTCTGATCACATTCTGTTGCAGAATCTGCGTCCAGCAGGCTTCAAGAATGCGGATCGCCTACAGGGACTGAACATAAAAGAAACGGAGAAGGTCCTGGCCAAATTGGCGCTGTTGCATGCCGCATCCGCACAGCTCTATGTGACCAAGGGCCCCTATGCGGATTGCCTGGACAAGTCGCTGTATAATGAGTCGACACGCCCATTCTTTGAGAACCCGCAAAGTAAAAGCTTTGTGGCTTTTAATACAGAGGCAGTGAGAAGCTTTAAGGGCAGCGAGCTCTTTGGCGATAAAGTGGTAAGTTTTGGGCTAGAGCTAAACTATAAAGATAAATCTAAAGTATACTAAAAAGTAGAAAACAGCTTTGTAGATGGATTTGGTACGAATCTTGTCCAAATTCTGTCAGATATTTCTTTAACAAAGCCTTTTGTCCACTTATTGAATGTAGGCAAACTTTTGTGAGTAATCGTATTCTACTTCATCCAAGACAATCCCCTTCATTTTGAATTGATTAAATTTAAATCCTATTAGGTTTATCAATTGAAAAATATTGAAGCACGATTGTATTAAGAGTTTAGAATTTAGAACGTCATATTTTTCCCAGTGCGCGCCTATAAAGTATTCCATTTACAGACCAAGATCCTGGAGAACATGTTCCATTGGGAAGCCAAGGCAGGCATCTACGATGATACCCAATTTAATTGCCTCAATCATGGCGATTGCTGGACAAATAATGTGATGTTTAAGTATGATGCACAGGGCGAAATTGTGGACACGCTCTTTGTGGACTTTCAGCGGTCGACCTTTAATTCGCCCGCCCTGGATTTGTATTACTTTCTATTGTCGTCGCCCAGTTTTGATATAAAACTCGAGAAATTCGACTACTTTGTGCGCTACTATCATACGGAATTGCAGCGCAATTTGGAACTCTTAAAGTATCCCCGACACATACCCAGCCTCAAGGAGCTGCACACCATTCTGCTAAAGAATCCCCTGTGGGCCCCGATTACGGTTGCGACTGTCATGTCGGCTGTGCTGCTCGATCCCACCGCCAATGCGAGCATTGACACCATGTTGGCCAACGATGAGGAGGGAAAACAGTTTAAGAAGAAGCTCTTCCAAAACGACAGGTATCGCCAACATGCTGAGGCCCTATATCCCTGGCTAAATCACAGAGGACTCCTGGATTTAGAGTAAGTTTCTGTAAATGTTACTGTTACAACTTATTTTAAGTGCAATTAGTTTTTTTTAAGTTTGAGTTAAATAGTTAATAAAAAAAATAAAATAAAATAAAAGCCTACAAATATATTTTTAACAATCACTAATTTTGTTGATAAGGAACAACTTTTATTGTCAAAGAATTCTCTGCGAGCCCAAGAAGTTGTTATATGTATTGAGAGAGCTATCGCATCTATCGGATCGGATCAGATGTATTACAAACACATGATCTTAGGGGTACATCAAATATTTTTATAGCCTAGAATATTTTGCTAAGTTTAACATGCATCCGTCTTTCTTTTGCGAACCCAGCCCAATCTGCATGAACCATTTTTTTGTTATCTTTTATTATTACACCCTGAACCCATTAAAAATGGGTATAAGAGTATATTGTATTTGTGCGAAATCCAAATGTATGTAACAGGCAGAAGGAAGCATCTCTGACCCTATAAAGTATATATATTCTTGATCAGCATCAATAGCCGAGTCGATCCGTCTGTCTGTCTGTCGGTCTGTCCGTCCGTCCGTTTGTCCGTATGTATGAACGCAAGGATTTCAGAACCTATAAGAGCTAGAGACTTGAAATCAGATGTGTTCAGATGTAGGTGCTCCTAGTGCCTGCGCAGATCGAGTTTGTTTTCGATTATCGATAACTTACTCCGTTTCCAAGCAATCGATAAGAATCGATATCGATATCGATATCCTGTATTTTGGTCAATTTTTGTAAATAATAATAGCTAGAGTCACCAAACCTGACATATAACTTCTAAAATAGAATATATATATATGCATTTGATGTTGGGAGAAGAGGGTTCAGGTTATCCCCTGAACCTCTCCCGACTAGAACAACCTCTTACTTGTTAAAATAGATAGTAAATATTTATTAAAAATACGTATTTAATTTTATAGCGATGGCGATACAAAATCCAAAGATGACTTGGATTTAGATTGGTTGAATTTTCAACATTTTGCCAAGCTTATTGGCGAGGAAGAGCCTCTGTTTGAGAAGATTTTGGAAAGTGCTTCGATTCCAGCAACCAAGCCTGGTGATAATTATGGTGCCAAGCTGCTCAAAGTGGACATTAAAGTGCAGCTTAAAGGTTCGTCTTAAATAAAGTAAGCCTACTTTCTAAATTCAAGCTCTACATCCTCTTAGATAACACCACAAAGAACTACGCCTATATGCTGAAAATAGAGCCTGACATTAAGATGGATGAGAACTCAGCATTTAACATGGTTCCCAAGGAGCATGAAGTATATGAAAAGTACGTGCCTGCCTTTGAGCAGCTATACCAGGAGGCGGGTCTATCGATCAGCTTCAGTCCCAGGACCTACAGATTTAATCAGTCAATTGACAAAAACTATTTGCTTATGGAGAATCTGCAGGCGTCCGGCTTTACAATGGCGGATCGCATGCAGGGTCTGGACTTGGAGCACACCAAGTGTGCGCTGAAAAAGCTGGCCCAGTGGCATGCCGCCTCGCTGCGGTATAAGGAACTAAATGGACCATATCCAGCTAGATATGATGATGGCATGATCTGCGAAAAGTCACGCGAGCTATTTAAAACCATAACAAAGTGCTGTGAAAAAGCTTTTCTAAAAACCGTGCGTGATTTCAAGGGTGTCGAGGAATATGAGCACAAATTGGTCAGAGAGAAATATATCAGAAATATCTAATTGCCATATAAACTAATTTTAATTTTACAATAGGAACCCCTGTTAAAGGCCTATCTGGATACCACCATAAAAGATGCCCAAATTGATGAGCAGGAATTCAATGTGCTAAACCATGCTGATATATGGACGAACAATATTATGTTCAAGCATGACCAGAACGGACAAGTGCAAGAGACCTATCTGCTAGATCATCAGAACACCAAATATGGCAATGTAGCACAGGATCTATACTTTTTCCTAATGAGCTCACCACAGCTGGAGCTTAAGATCGAGCAATTCGACTATCTAATTCGTTGGTATCATGAGAATTTAATAGAAAATGCCCAACTATTAAAATACACGGGCTTTGTGCCCGATCTGAAGCAGCTGCACAGCATATTGCTCAAGCATCCCATATATGGCAAGTCTTTGGATGTTTATATTTAAATGTATTTTTTATAATAATGGTATTTTGCATTATAGCTGCTGGCACTGTGATCACAACTTTAACCATTTGTCTGGCGAAACGTAATGAGAATTTAGCTTCCGACTTATTTTTGGAAGAAAGTCCAGCTAGCGATGCCTTATACAATCAACTATATAGCAATGAGCTCTACAAGACCCAAGCTGAGCGTATTTTGCCCTGGTTAAATAGGCGAGGTCTATTGGATTTAGTTTAGCTCAACAGTCTAAAGGAAGTAACATATAATTTATTGACTTTGGCTCGAACATGCGTATATATATAATCTGAGTCTAACAACTAGGTTTATATATCATAAAAATAAAAAAAGGTTGTAAATGTATAACTAACATATCACTTGATAGCCAACTTGAAAGCAACATAAATACTGGTTACAAAGACAACAGCAATAGCGAGTTTTTTGAGATTGGCACGATTCACGCCCTTGACAGTGCGCAGCAGTTCAATATTCATGCGAAATACATTGCGACTCTCTTCGATATACTCGGCACGCGTTTTTTCATCCAGTTGACCATAAACCTCATTGAAAATGCGACGGAGCTTGACTTTCAGAGTGGGTATGCGTATGGGAAAGTATGTTGCCTCACAGCCCACTTGTGCAATTGTCACCTGTTCCGGCATGGGTCGAGCACGCAAGTCATTGTCTGTGATGCCATCATCCTGGGCTGTGGCAGCTGCCCTGGCTGTTGCCTCCGCAGCATCCGCTTCGGCTTGCTTTTGCTGCTGCTCGGCACTGTCTTTGGGAAAAATCCATAGTTTGCGTGCAATCATGCGTTTCTTTTGCAACAGCTGGCCGCCCGACATTAGGGCCATGTACATTTGGAAGGCAAACGCGAAGAGTAGCACCTCGCTTTTGGCCTTCACTTGCTCCAAGTGTGCCAAGTAGACTTTGACAGCTGGACGCGGCTCATATGTTTTGTCCCAGTCGGCACCATAGAAATAGGCAAAGTCACGTTCAAATGCAGCCGCGCGATGCAGTTCTTTGGGCAGCAGCCGCTCTGGCAAGTTGGCCTCAAAAAATTTATATAATTCGTAAAATACCAAAAGTCCATCGTACCAAACTTCATCATCCGTAAGCGCTGCGCATATGGTACACGAATACAGTTAAATGACAAAGCAAATTGATAATTTGAATAACATTTACCAATGGCGAATTTAGCATTGACCAGGACATCCGTAAGCTTATGCACATCTTTTGTGGCCTGGCGCACTTCTTTTGTGAATGTCATGTCCACATAATCCTCATCTTTGCTCTCAGCGCTTTCATTGCTTTCGGGAGTCTCTTTGACTTCCAGAATGGGTGTTGCCTCGGCCGTTGACATTTTTCTTTTGTGAGTGTTAATTCGCGTTTAACTTCAATAAAACGTAATATATTTTTAATAAATAATGCGCAAATCCAAACGACTTCGTGCGCATTAACACAATGAATGTTTTTTCGATTTCGCCATGAGCGATAAGATAAATTGTACATATTATCGATTATTTGCAAGTGGCAACTTTAAATCAAAAATGTAACACACATATCTATTCGGGTTGAAAATGATTTAAAATCAAACAAGCGAAACATAAAAGTTCCGCCTCAATTTAACACAAACGATATAATTAAAAATACGACTCTACAAAAAAGAAATCGAACAATCAAGAAAGTCCGCCATTTATAACGTTCTGCCCGCGCTTAATACATAAACAAAACAAGAGACATCAGACCTATCGAACTATCGATGTCTGGCAGCATTATTATTCGGCTAATTTTACAGCACTTGTTAGCTACTAGCGATGTTTGGCTGTTTCACAACACTACACTGCAAGCCTAATGAGGTTGTTGTTCTGTTGTTCTTATAAAATTTGCAGTTTAATTGTTTAAAATAAATAAAACGCCAATTATAACTCGAACTGTAAGTGTTTTGCTTGACGCCTATGCGCGGACACAAAAAATTGTACTTTAATGAGCCCATGCATGCTAAAACAAATGTGAAAACTATGGCATAATGGAAACCATGCACTATTTTTACAACTAGTTTTCTAATTAATATTTATAACGCTCTCATACAAATCACGCACTAAACACACACTTATTACAGTACACAACAGCAGCTACAACAACAACATCGATACAATTGCTACGCTTTGGTTTTATCTGTCTACCCCCTCCCCACGCACACACAACACACACACACACAGAAACACACAGCTACATATTTTTGTAAATTTTAACTTGCATTACCTAAGTAGTTTATTTAAACATCCATATCCTATCTATATTGTAAAACGCAAGACTATCCAAAAAGCAATGTCGGATCTTTTTACCACTTTTGATAGCAACAGCGGGCAACACGACACACCAATGGCATCGCCCTCACAACACAGCCCCATGACAAACAACAGTAACTCATCCTCCACACAAAACGGTGGCACAACAGCGTCTCAAGCGGTCGCTAGCGGTGCTGGTGCTGGTGCTGGTGGTGTTGGTGGCGGTGGTGGTGGTGGGAGCGGTACAGGGGCTAGTGGTAAGAGCACAAGCCACAGCGCTGCAACGGGCGCGGAGAATACACCTGTAAGCGCACAAACATACGCAAAAGCCAAAAATCTCATTTAGTTAAAATTCATCTCGTGCATTTCTTTGTAGATGTTAACGAAGCCGCGTCTCACAGAGCTGGTGCGCGAGGTGGACACCACCACGCAACTGGATGAGGATGTGGAAGAGCTGTTGCTGCAAATCATAGACGACTTTGTCGAGGACACCGTCAAATCGACGAGCGCCTTTGCCAAGCACCGCAAATCAAACAAAATCGAGGTGCGCGACGTGCAGCTGCATTTTGAGCGAAAATATAATATGTGGATACCCGGCTTTGGCACAGATGAATTGCGTCCGTATAAGCGTGCTGCGGTGACCGAGGCGCACAAGCAGCGTCTAGCATTGATAAGGAAAACTATAAAAAAGTACTAGAGGGGTGGGGCGGACGGGTGCTATGCAGGGTTACTAGTTTGTCAATATAATTTGTATGATACTTTCATGAAAGAACACTCCAATTCATTTTAGCCACATTCAACTTAGAGTATAAGCAGCAAAGTTATATCACAGCTGAACAATAGTTTACAAATGATATCATTTACTTAAAATATACACAAAAATGCAATAAATGCGAGCGCAAAAGGCAAAAGTTTCTATTTAATCATATATATTTGATTTACTTACCTTTTGCATATAAAAGTTTTTTTTAGAAATTATTATAATTCTACTACACTGCACTACAAAAGTTCTGTACACAAAATGATTACTGCATGACATGCAAAAATTGTCATCACTTGCTGCTATCGATACGCTCACGTGACTAATCGATAGGTCTAGATTTTGTGTCAGCTTTTGTCATCACAGTTGCACTGCACATACATACATATGTATTTAGTAGATTAGCAGGACATTGAATTTTTATGTTGTGTTTTGTTACCTTTGTGTCTGTTTTAAATGTATTAAATGTTAATTAAATCGAAATAAAATGAAGCTGCCCGTCATGTGTCGTACTTGCGATGCAAGGGACACAGATAAACTATACAAATTGGCTACATCCACCAAAAGATTTCCGGATAAACAGCTCTCTGACATTTTGGCTGAATTGACACACATCAATGTGAGTTGTTATCAAAATACTGCTGTCCAATTTACAATCAATTTATTTGTGTTCCAGTTGGATGAAACGCTGGCACAACAGCTGCCGCAATGCCTGTGCGGCGCTTGTGCCAGAAAGCTAATTGGCGCCTATTATTATGTGAAACAGGCGTTGGCCGCCAATGAGCTGCTCATGAATCATGTGGACCGCCTGGGGAGCGACATAACTGCGGTCAATGACTGCCTGCAGGAGGCGCCCATGGAGCTGTGCGCCGAGCAGCATGTGGAGGTTAGTCATCTGTTTCAGGTTTCTAATAGAACTCAATAATCAATTGTATAAGCGCAGATTAAAATGGAGACAGAGGAGGAGGAGGCTGAAAATGATATAACCTGCACGGAACTGCCGGAGTTTACAACTGTACAAAACGCCCACGATGTGGAAGTGGATGCCGACGACGAGCTGCATAATAAAAAGTCTGACGATCCGCTTACCATGCTCGAGCCAGTGAAACAGGAGGATGAGCCATCTGCTGCCGGAGCAACCAATGTGCAGAAACGGGAATATAAGGCTGATATTGAAGACGAGGAGTAAGCGTCGAATAGCAAAAATAACATTCTGTTAATGGATTTTATTTTAGATCACTCGATGATTTGCCTTTGCAACAGCGTGTGCGCAAGTGGAAGCAAATGGACAAGATGCGCACCGTGAAGCGTTCAACTTTCAAATGCACGGATTGCCCAAAAAGCTTCAAGCGGCCCGAGTATCTCAAGCAGCATGCAACACGGGCGCACAAATCAAAAACCGATTGGTTCTCCTGCTCCTATTGCATACGCAAGTTCAGTCACAGAGAAGCTCTGCAATCGCATCTGAAAGTGCATCGCGATTCCAAGCGTTCAGCCAACTTGGGCGAGAGCAAAAAGGCCAAGGATATTGATGTGAACATGTGCAAGCCGCATGGCTATAAGCTAATCGAGTGCATGATCTGTCAGAGTCAATACGAGAAGATAGCGGATTTGCGACGACATCTGGAGCATCATCCGGACATTGTTAATTTTGGCGCACGCTCAAATATGCAGCCACACGAACTGGCCGAGCTGTTCTATCCGGATGCCAAGCATATCAGCGAAGAACAGCTAAAGGTGCTCATACACAAAGATCTGGCTGCGGGCATATACCAACGTTTTTACTCAATAACCAACCAGTCGGGCTATGAAATGGATCTGGACAGCTCGGAGACGGAAAGCGAGGCTGAGCTGGATGGCGAGGAACAGCTGGATGGCAAACAGCTGCGCAGCATACCCAAAGCCAAATATAGCTGTGAACTGTGCCACGAGCGCTTTCAACGCAAATACCAGATCTTTGATCATCAGCGTCTGATGCACGCCTGGCTGGATGCGCCACATGTCTGCGGACGTTGTGATGCGCGCTTTGTTAGCCTCCAGCTGCTGCGACATCACAACGAGCTGCAGTGCAAGAACGCACAAAAACGTTTCCTGTGCCACAGATGTCCGCTACGCTTCCGCTGGCGGCACAATCTAAAGGCGCATATACGCGAACACCGTATTACTGTAAGGGTATAACAAATCTTTTGCGCCTTATTAGACGCTAACTTAAAGCACATACATATATTCCAGAATCAAACGTACGAATGCAACGATTGCAAGCGCGTCTTCGACAAGAAGAAATCCCTGACGGTGCACATGCTCAGCGTGCATGCGGAGGAATCCAAGCTCATACCGTGCCAATGGTGTACACGCAAGTTCTATCGTCGAGACTACCTGGTGAAGCATCTGAAGCGTCATGGCATACGGGAACAGGATATACCGCTGGCCGAGACGCTCATTGCGGCCACCTCAAAGCCCAACGGCGCCAAGCGCATCACCTGCAAGGTTTGTAATCTTCAGTTCGAGCGCATCTGTGATCTGCGTGCGCACATTCAGCTGGAGCTAAAACTGGCCCTATCACTGCACCAAAACTACGACTCGCCGCACAACTACTCGATCACAAACGAATCTGGCTACGAGCTACAGCTGGCCGACTCCGAAACGGAGGATGAAATGCAAACGCAAATGCAGCCGCGTGCCTCGCCCCACACGCGACTTGTCTACATCTGCGAGCTGTGCAAAGTGCAATGCAAGCGCAAGTACGAGATGATCCAGCATCAGCGGGCCATGCATCGCTTTGACAAGATGCCGCACGAGTGCGAGCTATGCATATTCAAATGCGTATGCAAGGTGAGATAATAAACCTCCTGCCAAACCAATAACAACAACTTGCAGCATTTGGAACCAAATTAATCCTACGGCCTTAAAAATGTTATCTTAAAAACAAAGCATTAATCTTAGCTGGCTCCAAAATCTAAAAGCTCAAACAGTTTAAACGAGATCTGAAAGCTGCTTAAATTTAAGCTATCTCAAAAAGCTGCTTAAATTTCAAGAACACTTTTTTGCGATTAAAATGTATGTTAGAAGCTTTTAAGCTTAATAAACTGCGTGCTTGAAATGAGCTTTATTTATAAGTATTAATATAAATGAATCTCAAATCGAGCAATAGTTCGATTAAGCACATTAAATTCTCAAAAAGCTTATGAGTGTATGCTTTAAGCGCGCTTTTGCATAGATTCTATATATTTTATCAGAATTGCAAACTTGAAGCATTGAAAAATCGCTTTTAATTGAATTCTACGCTTACTTTGCCCAGCTCTTTGAATAGACCTATTAGTTGAGCTTTTTCATAGAGTTCAATAGTAATCCAATACTTAAGTGACATTACTTACCTTTTATTGCATTTTCCAGAGCATCATGGACCAGCACAAGCAATCGCAGTGCCAGAGCAGCGATAAGAAACTGGCGTGCAGCAGATGCAGCTATAAATTCATGTGGCCAGAGAATCTGCAGCAGCACATGCAACTGCAGCATGGTGGCGCGGAGTTGAGCTCTGCAGCCGCTAGTGAATCAGCAGCAGCAGCCAGCGCGGATCAGGTGCCAGCTTTGTCAGCTGATACCGCAGCGCCGGCAGATGATGTGCAGCTGCTGCAGTGTCCACACTGTGATCGCACCTATCAGATGAAGGCGCGCCTGAACAATCATATACGGGATGTGCACATCAATGGGGATCGCAAGCGCAAGGAGGCCATCAAGAAGTTTCTGTGCTCACTGTGCGGCCGGGAGACCCAGTCGGCGGCCACATTGGTCACCCATATGCGGCGTCATACGGGCGAGAAGCCCTTCAAATGCGATCTATGTGAAATGGCATTTCCGCGCCATTCGGAGATGATGTCGCACCGCCGTATGCATACGGGCGAGAAGCCATTCCATTGCACTGTGTGTGGTAAGGATTTTGCGCGATCCGACAAACTGAAGCGGCACATGCTGACGCACAGTGGCCTGAAGCCGCACAAGTGCACCTACTGCGACAAGAGCTATCGCCAGGCGAAGGATCTGAAGCTCCATCTGCAGCAGCACACGGGCGAGTGCCCCTTTATATGCGGCACCTGTGGCGAACGTTTCATACAGGGCACCGCCCTGGAGAAGCATCGCATGATGCGCCGCCACTTTGACGAGGTGGAGGAGCGCAGCACTAACACATCAATTGCTTAATTATGTTTATAATTATTTAATTTTTAATAAATGTTTGGTTTTCTAATCAAATGTGCACCAAATTGTTTACGGTTGCCTTTTACTGCTTGCTTCTACAGCTCCTCGGAGCCGCGTGCCTCGATTTTGATCATTTCCACATCGAAAACGAGCACCGCATTGGGCGGTATTTTGCCACCGCCCGCACCGCTGGCGCCATAGCCCAGTTCGGGTGGAATGGTCAGCGTGCGGCGTTCGCCCTCGCACATGCCCAGCAGGCCCTGATCCCAGCCCTTGATCACCTGGCGTGCGCCCAGCGTGAAGGAGAATGGTTTGCCGCGATTGTGGCTGCTATCGAATTCGGTGCCATCTTGTAGGGTGCCCTAGAATATGAGGAATATCATCACTATACCTTAAATTTCCAACATCAAGAACGAAAAGTAGAAGAATATATCGGTTTGGTTGCCCCTTTAAGCTTAAATAGCCGATATACCCTGTTTATTACTTTGTGAGCAGAGCATTAAAATAGATTAAATAAACTGACGTGTACCGCAATTTCAATTCACCGTTACCTTATAATGCACGTGTATTAAATCGCCGCCTTTGGCTTTTCGCGTGCAGTTTTCCACACGCTTCTTAACGCCTATTTTCACTTTGGGCGTGTCATTGGCAACGGCGGCGCCAAAAACCGCGCAAATAAATAACAAATACTGCAGCTTCATTTTGCCCCAACTTTGAGCTTTGCCAAATGCAAACAAACGTGCTATCGAGTATCGATAACTATCGCCGCATGGCTCTTTTGATAATCATCGCTGCAGTGTTGTCATTCACAGCGCAGTTGGCGCCAAATTTGAATTACACTTAAATGTTACCTTCGTTATTAGCGCTTTGTTTTGCCATTCACAGCGGGTAGGATCGAAATTTATTTCATCTTTTTCACACATCAAATATGCTAAGTATTTATTAAACAATTTACATTAAAGCTCTTTTTTAAATACAAAGTTGGGCCGAATGTAATATTAACGTTTTGATGCTTTAATCTAAAATAACACAAATAGCGCACAATTAAAAAACAAAGCCTTATTATAAATATGCAACAGATTATACAAGAGATTTACAAATATACGAATATATCACAATAATAAAGGAATACAAGCATACACAAATGAATTTTTTTTGCCAGCACGTACATGTGTATATCATAGATAATACCTAGGTACATAATATACTAATACAAATAGCGTTACATTTTAAATATCTGTATATATATATATATATGTAAATATTTATGGATACATATATGAACTATGACTATAATATGCATACAGCGTGTATATAAGGACTTGTTTAAATGTTCTCAACTGTCTTCGCACAGTCTCAATTATCATTTGACAGATTTGTGATTTTGGTCGCATACATATTGGCCACCTTATAGATAAATTCGTATTGCTCCTTGGTCTGCACGGCACTTGCCCGACCCCGCCGCACATAATACACCAACTGGGGCACATCCACCGAACGCTTGGGCGTCTCCAGGCTCCGTATGGCCATGTCACAGGCAATGATGGTGCCGGTACGGCCCGTTCCTGGGGAGCAGTGAATGGTTAGCGGTCTAAAAGGGACGGGAGGAGGGAGGATACACACAAAAGAATGAGTAACAGAAAACAATTAACGATCAACAATCAACGTCACATAAACAAAGTCACAAAATTGACAAGTATTTATTTACTGGTTTTTTTTTTTTTTTTAATACCCTTGCAGTGGGTATTCTGATTTTGCCACGAACTATGTAACTCACAGAAATGTCAACTTATCTATTTTTCGTAATAGATCTAAAATTAGGCTTTTGTAGTGAGCACTTCACTCACAAGTCTGCAAGGGTATTTCGAATTCGGTACACCGAACAATGCTTCTTTCCAGTTTTCACTCACCCCTGCTGAGTGCGCGCCGTCTTGTTGGCCACATTGCCGTTAATCTCATTGCTCGCCGCGCTCGACGTGCTGCACTCCTCCTCTTGGGCTGGCGGTGCTTTTGACGTCTGGCCCTCCAGCGATTTGAGAGTGAGTGTGGAGGACTTCTCATGCTTCAGCTCATTGGCCTGCTCCAGGGCATACGACTTGAGTGAGGAGCGCGCCTCGAGCAGCATGGCAATGATGGGCGCCTCCTCGAGCGGCACGCCCGACTCGGGCCATTTGTACCAGTAGTGCGTCAGCTCGCGGCACTCGGCGCCATCGACCCGCTTCAGCATGAGTGTTGAGATCGCATATTTATCCTTGACCTCGCGATGCTTCAGCGTGACCTGATAGTCGCCGTAGCTGCTGTGATTATCGAGTGTCACCGACGGCGGCAGATACTCGGCACAGCGCTCGATGCCATTTTCGGTGAGGTCGGTTGCCTGGACGATGACGCGCGACTGCTGCTCCCAGATCATGCGCCAAAAGTCGGCGGTGGTGCTCTCCAGGGGCGCCTGGCAGGCAATGTAATAGTTGGGCGCATCCCGCGGTCCCTGTGCGTGTAAAAGAGATAGCAAAAGTTTAGCATTATGTTAATGCATAATAATAACAGATAATATACATTGTGTTAATGCGTAACTTAACATAACGAACATTATTCAATGACATAACAGTTAATTAAAAGCTTTACATTACATGCATGACTCTCTCGACCGCTCTCTCAATTTGGCGCTCTCTTTGTGCATGTTGTGAGTGTGCGTGCGTCATTTAATGACCGCCATTGAGCTGCACGCGCGCTCTTTTTAAAAAATTGCTTTACATTTGCTATTGTGTACACAAATGCATGCATATTTATTGTACATGTATATGCATGTATGTATGTATATAAAGTCAAGGCATGCTTTGCTTATCGCCAGCTGCCACACGTTTTAAGAGCTGAGAATCTAGTTGCATACATATAAAGCGCACTGATACATATGCACATTTATATCTGCGAGCTTATCTTGTTGCAGCCTTTTCGCCTGAATGCACTTGGCTAACGCCTGAAAAGCGCACCGCAGCGCAACGCACGCGTTACGCGTCAATGCTGTAGCGCATTTGCTTGCCTTAATTGATCTAGGGAATACCCTCAACAGAAGGGGCTTAACAGCTATGCATGTGCTTTGACAACAAACAGTCGAACGCCTCAAAATATATTTATAACTACTCAATTTCCAAATGTGACTCACAAATGTGCTTCTTTTTTTTGTTTTTTTAGTTTTTTTTGGCTGTTATCGAATCAATTTAACAAGTTTAGTGACATCCTGATAATTATGATCAATAAACTTTATATACATATATTCATATATGCACATACATATATGTATACAAACTGTTGCATGAATGCTGAAAGAACGCAACAAAGACTATCCGCCTGGTAAGTTTGCCATGAGTATGTAAATATTGACTGAAGTATGAAGCTGCCTGCTTTTCCAGCGATTCAATATAATTAACAAAGGAAAAGGGCTTGTGTCCAAGTGAGCTAAAAATGTTCAGTTATTTAAATTTAACTTGGGATTTCTTATCTCGGAATGATTGATACGGATTCGATTTGATCAGTTTGTAAGACTGTATTACTTTAAGTTTGTATTTTTACTGCAAATATAATGTGCTTAGGATATTCACAGTTCGTTGTGCACTCGAAAAACTTTCTCTCCGTTTATGATTATTATGCATAAAGTTTTTGTTTTGTTTTTGATACGTTTATTATTATGTTTTTATTTTTATTTTTATTTTTGCACAAAACTCATTTACTTACAACAGGCAATGTAACAAAGAGGTTGAAACAATTTTCTTGGCACTTCGCTAATCTCATGGGCCGTATAATTATGGCCGCTCGCAACGCCCCCACACCATCCCCCCTTTCATGCACACGTCATGCAAGGCTAGACGCAGTGGCAACTCTGAAAAGTACCGTTGCAATATTAAGACACACACACATACACGCCCGCAACTACAGACGCCCACACACATGTGAGAAAGCTGCAGCTTTGGCTGTTGAGAGACAGTTTTTGATTGTTTTGTATACCCTGGAAATATTGTAAAGGGGCTAGAAAGGTATGCTGATTGCGTAGATTTGTATGTAACAGGCTTCATGTATGTGAAGGTTGAACCCATAAATTCTATATAGTACGCAGAGTAAGTTTATATTCAGCCAAGGCGTTCGAGCATATCTCTAGAATATAGAATATAATATCTAGAAATACCCTAGTTGGTCTGTAGATTCTTGTAAGGAATACAACAGATTTTGGAACCCTAGCACTTGAAAGATAAAAGCGAAACTTAAGGCTGTATTTAGATCTTAAATGAGAGCTCAGGGAGAGAGATAGCAGGCCTCGGAGCTGTGTACAGGGTATCTCCAATTCAGCAATAATTTGCATTTTGTTTGCAAAGGAGATCTGTTCGTTTCACTCACCCGCACATAATTGGCATTAATGTATTCCGTTTTGTCATCATCGCCCTGCCGCTGGAGCACCACTCGCGTCTCGGGAAGCGGAATTACGTTTGCGTAGCTGCGGTTTCAGGTTTGAGGTTACGTTGGATGTGAGCAATAATCCAGCAATCCGACAATCCAGCGATTCAGCGATTTGTTTGATTCATTTAATTCACGATCATCAGGAAGTGATTCGAAAAAAAAAAGAAAATAAAGAATTGTATAATTTATGTATTTGGCATGAGATGCGTAATCTTTATATTAAGTACAACACGTGAGCTTCTATATCAGAGCAAAAATGATTTATACAGATAACTTTCCCTAAAAAGCAACTTGAACCCGCGAGCTTGTACTTTATAATGGAAAACTGGTTGATAAGATAAGAGAACGAGATAATTTTTGGTGTATTCTGTCAAAAATCGTATAGAATAATTGCTACCTCTATACACTACCTCTACCTCTATACACTCATCATACTACGTCACAAGCTTGTAACCTTGAACATGAAGTGTTTCTTTGTTTCCTTCTTTTCATTGCTTTCCAATGACTCTTCAAGTTTCAATTCTATTCCTTTTCTGGCTCGCTCTCGCTGAATTTCCTGCCTCATCTTATTGCTTTGCCTTTCTTCTGTTATTCTTTTCATTCACTCTTTTATTCTCAGCTATTAATCCGCGCATTTTGCCCTCTTACTCACCGATTTTTGTCCTCACAGCCGGCTGGCACCTCATCCGCCCTAGCAATGATCTGCGGCACATCACGGAACTCCTCAAAGATGGTCGAACGCCGCTCCACAAACTTGCCCAGCTCCGTGGCGCTCAGCAGATTGTGTCGCAGCGAGGGATCATCGAAGGCGGCGTTGCCGTAGGTACGTTTTGAGGCGCGTAAGTCGCGTCCTTTGCGCCGCACGCTGCCCAACACTGAGACATTGTCCAGGGAGTAGGCATCCAGGCTGACGGGACGACAGCGCTGGCTGTAGGACATCTGCTTTTGGCGTTTGCGCATCAAATAGAGGAAAGCCACCAGCAGGATGAGCGCCACGACGCCAATTACGCTCACAGTTATGGCAATTATGACGTTGACATCGGTGCCAGTGTTGCCGGGCGGCTGTTGCATGTGATTCACATCGGTTGGCGGTTGTGTTGGCATTAACATAGGGATTCTGGTGGTGGTGGGTTGATTAACATTGGCACTGCTGGCAGTGGGCAGCATGCTGTTGTTGGTGCTGTTGCTGTTAATGTTAATGTTATTGTCGCTGGTGGAGCTGTAGATGGGCTCTGTTGCTGTAGTTGTGGTTGTTGTTATGGTTTCTGTTGTGGTTGTTGTTGTTGTTGTTGATGTCGTCGTTGTGG